GCTGAGGGGATCAGACAAGGTGCAGCACTGCCAGGGGACCTTTGGAAGATGTCAGAGAAATGTCTAAGTGCTCTATGATGACTCTTCCCTCTCCAGCCTCATCCCTCCCTGCTCCAGAGTCCAGGGGAGCTGAAGGGCTTTGGGCTCAAACTGTGGCCACCAAGACCCAGGGCAGGGCCAGTGCAGAGCAGGGGATGCTGCCCAGCAATGCTTGGAACAGCAATTCTTCCTACAAAACCAACTCCTTGAATTCACTCCCTGATTTCCAACCTTTTCCAACACGTGGGTTCCCAAGTCCCATCCCAGCAGGGACGTTTCACCCTCCAAGCTCAGCACCAAGTGCCTTTTACTGACCTCCTGGGCATTGTTGCCCAGTGATCTGGGCACCAAACCTCCAGCCAGGGATTCTGCCTGTCCTGGGAGACCCCATGTGTTGTACCACAGCCCCCTGCCCTCCAGCCTTCCCAGCCCTTCTCCTCCTGCTCCTGGTTTGTTTCTAATCCCAGGGAGCGAAATGGGGTTAGATTTTGGAAGAACCTGACCAGGTCTGGACACCAGGTCAGGCCCTGGTGGTTACAGACCAGTCTGAAGGCTGTGCTGGTGCTCAGCAGGATGGCAAAAACAAGGTGGATTTGGGACCTCAACAGTGGAAAAAAAAAAAACCCACAGAAGTAAACAAATTAAATAAACCCCAACCCCCAGACAGGCAGCTGGGTGAGCAGAGACCAGGTCTGCAGGCTGAACTTCACCTCCACCACTCCCTGCTGACCCAAACCAGCACCAGGGAATGTCTGCTCCCAATTCCCAAGGACCTGCTGCTTCCCAAGGGGTGGCAGGTGGAGCCTTCACAGGCACAAGGAGGGCACTTCAGGGTTGAGCTCAGCACAGCAGTCCCCAAACAGCCCCCAAACCCCCCCAAGAGCCCCAAACAGCTCCCCAAACCCCCCAAACAAACAGCCCCTCTGCCTCTTGCTTTCCAGCCCAACTCCTCACACATGGAAGGGCCAGCAAGGCCAGATCCCCACTGTGGAAACAGATCCTGCCCTGGGCAGAGGGTCTCTGTGCTGGGTGGTCTGGGTGGCACCTCTGCAGGCAGAGGGGGGGGGAGCCCCACACAAAGCAGCCACAGCCCAAGCCCTTCCCTGTGGTGCTCAGGAGAAGGGAACCCTTGGGAGAAGGGAGGACCAAGGAGGCAGCTGGAATCCTTTGAGGTTTGGTTTTGGGGCACAGAGAGGCCCAAAGTGCATCCACGAGCAGCAGGGACCACAGGAACCTCAGCACAAACACAGCTGATCCCACAGCCCCTGCCCTCCTGGCAATTTGGAGACCCCAGATGCATTTAAAAAAAAAAAAGGCTTTGATATGAATATTAATATTATTTATTATAATAAAGAACAGTCAAGCAGCGTGAAAAAAATATATCTTAGCTACATTACCTTAAATTGCCAAAAATATACACATTTTTCTCTTTTATTCAATAAAAAAAACCCCAAATCCAAATGCATTTAAAAAAAAAAAAGGCTTTGATATGAATATTAATATTATTTATTATAATAAAGAACAGTCAAGCAGCGTGAAAAAAATATATCTTAGCTACATTACCTTAAATTGCCAAAAATATACACATTTTTCTCTTTTATTCAATAAAAAAAACCCCAAATCAAAACAAAAAAGAGACACATGCAACATACTAAATGAGACATTAGCATCAAAACGGGTAAAGAAACGTACCCCAGTGCAACTGAAACACAGATAATCTTTAGCTTTTAGGTTTTCTTCCCCCTTCTCTCCCTCTTTTTCACAGAGATACAACTGGTTCCTGTCACCCTCCTGGCAGGGCCCCCTTCCTGTCCCCTCCACCTGCCAAAGGGACCTTTGGCTCTGGGACAGGCTGAGGGGATCAGACAAGGTGCAGCACTGCCAGGGGACCTTTGGAAGATGTCAGAGAAATGTCTAAGTGCTCTATGATGACTCTTCCCTCTCCAGCCTCATCCCTCCCTGCTCCAGAGTCCAGGGGAGCTGAAGGGCTTTGGGCTCAAACTGTGGCCACCAAGACCCAGGGCAGGGCCAGTGCAGAGCAGGGGATGCTGCCCAGCAATGCTTGGAACAGCAATTCTTCCTACAAAACCAACTCCTTGAATTCACTCCCTGATTTCCAACCTTTTCCAACACGTGGGTTCCCAAGTCCCATCCCAGCAGGGACGTTTCACCCTCCAAGCTCAGCACCAAGTGCCTTTTACTGACCTCCTGGGCATTGTTGCCCAGTGATCTGGGCACCAAACCTCCAGCCAGGGATTCTGCCTGTCCTGGGAGACCCCATGTGTTGTACCACAGCCCCCTGCCCTCCAGCCTTCCCAGCCCTTCTCCTCCTGCTCCTGGTTTGTTTCTAATCCCAGGGAGCGAAATGGGGTTAGATTTTGGAAGAACCTGACCAGGTCTGGACACCAGGTCAGGCCCTGGTGGTTACAGACCAGTCTGAAGGCTGTGCTGGTGCTCAGCAGGATGGCAAAAACAAGGTGATTTGGGACCTCAACAGTGGAAAAAAAAAAACCCACAGAAGTAAACAAATTAAATAAACCCCAACCCCCAGACAGGCAGCTGGGTGAGCAGAGACCAGGTCTGCAGGCTGAACTTCACCTCCACCACTCCCTGCTGACCCAAACCAGCACCAGGGAATGTCTGCTCCCAATTCCCAAGGACCTGCTGCTTCCCAAGGGGTGGCAGGTGGAGCCTTCACAGGCACAAGGAGGGCACTTCAGGGTTGAGCTCAGCACAGCAGTCCCCAAACAGCCCCCAAACCCCCCCAAGAGCCCCAAACAGCTCCCCAAAACCCCCAAACAAACAGCCCCTCTGCCTCTTGCTTTCCAGCCCAACTCCTCACACATGGAAGGGCCAGCAAGGCCAGATCCCCACTGTGGAAACAGATCCTGCCCTGGGCAGAGGGTCTCTGTGCTGGGTGGTCTGGGTGGCACCTCTGCAGGCAGAGGAGAGGGGGGTCAAACACATCGGTGGGGGGGAAGAAATTTAAAAAAAATAATTAAAAACAAGTGCAAGCACACAATTGTGCCAGAGCAGTTTTGGGGAGAGGGAAGGGAAAATTGGGAGTTCAAACCATTTGCAACCAAAAGGTCTGGTTCACATTCTGCAGGAGGCTGGAATGGAAGGTGGCACAGCTGGGACAGGGGACAGGGACAGGCCAGCAGAGCCCCCCACTCACTGCTCCTCTCCAGGTCTGTGCTGCAGAGACCACCAGGAAGGGAAGTTTGGGGTTTTTTTTTTTTTTTATCCTGCATTTTCACTTTTAGCTGCCATCTCCATCTTTCCTATAGCTTCTGAACCTTTTTAAAACATTTGCTTTTCTTTATATATATATAAAAATTATATATATATAATTATATATATATATATATTTCTCAGCAGACAGCAGAGTTCTGCCCAGTTCACAGAATGGGAGGCTGAGATCAGAGAGGCATTTCCTCTCCTTTTTTTGCCTTATTCAGCCAGGGTGGTGACAATCTTCCAAACAGAGAAAAATAAAAAGAAAAAAGAGAGGAAAAAAAAAAAGGAATTGAAAAGGAAGAAAAAGGTTTAGCAGAGAATGTTGCCTAGAAAAAGCTTTTCTAGTCCTATCAGCACAGCCCCACTGCTGACAAATCTGAATAGTGCAAACTAGTTAGAGGCAGGGGGAGTGTGCTGAGGAACATCCACTAAGGTCTGACCATTTTTATTCTTTCAAGACCCTCAGACTTCCCACCTGCCCCCAGGAGCTCTGGATTTCCCAGGGGATGAGGAAAAGAAGGGGCATTTGCACATTTGATGCAGCTGTTCCCTCTCCCCCCGGAGCTGCCCCACCTTGTCCTTCCATCAACCCATCACATCCCAGCTCAGGGGAAGCTGGTTGCTCTGCTGAGGTTCCAGGCTGCAAGATGGAGTTAAGGTCAAAAGGTGGAGAACAACAAAGGGTCCCTTGTCCCAGTTTAGGAGACTGGTAACTGTCCCATTGCTTGGAGATCCCTTTTCTCAAGTGCCCAAGACAGTGGAAGAACGTGGTTGTGCCAGGCTGGAGTGATTTGTGGTAGGTGAGGAGCAGGTACCAGGTTTGGGGCTCTCTCCCACACACACACGTTTCTAGCTCCCAGTTGAGGCCTGGGAAACAACTGCCAGGTTCAAACACACCTTCTGAAGTGGGAACACTGGCTACAGCCCCCTTCTGCAAGCTGCAGCTTCAGCCTTTGGAAAGCTTGGAAGGCAAGAGAGAGAGAGCCAGCCCAGGGAGCAGGAGTGTGCTTCTCACCTGAGCAGCACCCAAGGGACAGCAGCTGGCAGAGCTTTCTGGCCATGTCCTCTCAAGAAGCAGGTGGCCTTCACCTCTTCCCCAGGCAGCCCTTCCCCATTGCTCCACCACTCGTGTCTCTTCAGGCTGGGTTTGGATCCAGCTGAGGTGTTGGGGCTTCAGCCGACGGGCGCAGAGAGAAGAGCATCCCAAGGGCCCAGCAGGTGAAAGAGCAGGTGAGAAATCTCAGCTCCAGGACTTCTTCTGAACCTCCCCATCGGGGCAGACAGGCACTGCCAGCAGGTCCCACTTCCCCAGCTGTACCCCATCCGTGGGCACTGCTGGATTCCTCCCTCCACCAGGGCCACGGCCAAGGATGCTCGATGGTCTCTCGTGCCTGGGGAGCCACACACACGGGAACACCCACCCTCATGGCAGGGAGGAGGCTGGTGGTGGGAACTCACTCCTCCACGGGGAAACAGCTTGACTCGGAGCGTGTGGCAAGGAGCAGGGGGGAGGCAGCCCCAGCTCTGCCCCTCCTGCCACCCGGGCTGGGGCGCAGACGCGGAGTCTTCCCAAAGCACCTCCTGGCATCGCCCGGCGGCTGGAAACGCTTCTTGGAAGCCTTGTGCTCATTGCTCTAACAGTGTCAGTGTTGGCTGTGGAAAGCCACGTTCCCCTGGGTCAGAGGAGTTGGCTGCTGGTTTGTTCGGGGTGAGGGGGGAGCTTAGCCCTTGTCCTGGGTGAGAGGAGCTCCCTTGTCATTCATGCTCTTTAAGAAACAAACAGAAAGAGACGCAGAGGAGACAGGCATCAGTACGGGGGGGGCAGAAGCAGAGCCCTGCTGTGCTGCAGACCTGGCCCTGTCACTGACATCTCTCAGGCTCCTCTGGGACCAACAGAGACACGGGAGCCCCAGGTTTCCCCCTCTGCTCAGGTCAGGCCAACCTGGCCCCTTGACCCTGGGCTTTGGCTCCTACGTGTTTCCAACCAGGGCTGGACCTTCTGGGCACAGACCCAGGGGAGGGATGGAGATCAAAGTGTCACACTATCAGTCCCTAGACACTGGCGTTCCAGAACCAGGCTGATTTACAGGGAGGCTGCAAACCTCTCCCCAGCCTCTCCTCCTGGGTACAAGATTCCTTCTAACCCCTGGGTTCCAACATGCAGTCACCTTCGCGTCTCATCCCGCGGCTCCGCCAGGGGCACATTGTCCCATCCGAGTCTTAGGGTTATTGGAGACAACTCTACAGCCTGGCTCTGCCTTGCTCCTGCAGCAGCGCTGGTGTGGCTCTGCACACACACACACACACAAGGGTCCCTCGGGAGCCTCTGTGCCCACCCGTGACCCTGCCTGGGCCCCAGGGATGCTCTGGGAGGTGGGATCAGGAGGTGGCACTGGGTAGTCAGGGGTGCAGCTGCAGGGATGGAGCATTCTGGCTCAGTTGCCCTTGCTCCCCCCGTGTGACCTGCAGCACAGACCGTGTCTCCCCGGGGCTGCTCAGCACCCACAGCCCCCCGGGCTCAGGGGGGTCAGGGGGGGGCCAGCAGCATACGCACCGTGCCTTTCGGGGTGTTGCCATCAGCCTGCAGGTTGAGGAAGGGGTTAGTCTGTGCTGTGAGGACGGGGGGGATGCCTGTCCCCGAGGCCAGGAGGCTGCTTCCAGGAGCACTGAGTGGCGGGGTGGCCTGGGGGGCCATGAGGGCATTGCTATGCTTGAGCTGCTGGGGGGACAGGGAGGCCATGAGGGAGCTGCTGCTGGGGGGGTGCTGGGGGGCCGAGGTCATCAGGGTGCTGGGGCTGGAGTGCAGGGGGGCAGAGGTGGCTGCCAGGAGGCTGCTCATGGACAGCTGGGATGAGCTGGTCATCTGCAGCCTCTGCAGCTCCCTCTTCTGCTGGATTTGCTGCATCATCTGGAACACCAGGGCCTGCTGCTCCTGCAGGAAAGGGCGAGGAAGAGAAAGTCAAAGGAGGGACAAAGGGCTACGGGAAAGGGTGACACCTCATAGGAAGGAGCCACATCTGCACACTCCATCCCAGGGACAGGGAGAAAGTCCCCTTGATCGTGGCTCTGTAGGCAGAGAGAGGAGCAGTCATTCTTGTGCTCGTTAACAGCCTTATGACCTTCCCAACCCTGTGCTTTCCTGGAGCGTGGGATGAGCCAGCCCTCCCCAACACCTGCAGCACACAAATCTGCCCAACTCCTTCCAGCCCATCGATTTCAAGGCTGTGGTATCATTCCCTGTCCTCAGTTTCTGGACCAGCTGCTGATTTCCTCAGCCCAGCCCTCTGCACAGCTCAGCCCTGGCCCACGGGGTTGGTGTGGGGGAGCCAGAGCCAGGGGGGACAAGGGCCAGGGCAGGGCCAGGGCTCACCTGCCCCCAGAGGGACAGGCTCAAATCCAACCAAACTGGAAATCACCATAGCAACCATCGACCAATGCAGCAGGCTGAGAGCTGACATTGTTCCCCTGCCCACAGGGATGCAGCTGATGACACGGTGACATCAGCTGCTGTAAAGAGAAGCCCTTTGAAACTCACTTTTCCCAGGTTATAAATAGCCTGACCCAGAAATCCACCCAGAGCAACGGGCCAAGTCCAGGGGAGATGTGCAGGAGCCCAGCTCTGCTGAAGGGCACTGGGGGCAGGTCCTGCAGCCCATGGCAGGGGAGGGGACACCACGGAGCCTTCTGCAGGGTAAGTGAATGCAGCTCTCACACTCAGGGCCTTGTTTACCATCCACCCCACGCAGCCAGTCCCTCAGCAGCCTGGGATGGGGCTGCGAGAGCCAAGAGCCTGAGAACAGCTGCCTGGTCCTTTTTCTGACCCCAAAGTCCTCAGCCACCCACACAGTCCCCCTGGCATCTCCAGTTCTCCACGTTGATGTGCCTGGACACGGCTCAGCTGCCTCAGGACTTAACAGTTTGGTGCTTATCTCTTCCTAAACTCAAGCAATGTCCTCAAGCCAGTTCCTCTTCTCCTGTGGGCCTCAGCACATCTGCAAGCCCTGAGCCCAGGGTGCTCTGGCAGCAGGAGCAGACACGATTTGCATTCAGAGATGGCTGGAGGAGGTACCAGCACTCCTGGCTTTATGGTGGCTTAGCCTTACCATGTGCTCACACCCTCAGGGGGTGGGAAACCCAGATTAAATTTTTTTCCTTTGTACAAAAAAAACAACAAACCAAAACCAAAGTTCAGATCCCCATCTCCCTGCCTGCAGGAGGGACCACACCTTCCTGCCCAGGGCTCTTCTCCTCCCTCCACCCCCAGCAGCTGGGAGCCAAGGAAAAAGGCACATGATTCCTGCACCCCCTGGGCAGGGGATTCATGGGAGGCAGGGAGCCCCAGGTTCTGCTCTCTGCTCCCAGGCTTTCCCATTAAACAGCTCACCAGATGAGAGGTGCCAGGAGGCACACTTACCAGATTAAGAGGCTGGGAAGTCAGGAGCTGCTGGAGCTGCTGGATCTGCTGCTCGTGTTGGTGCAAGACGTGTCGCTGCTGCTCGGTCAGGGGGCTCAGGCTGGGCACGCTGCAAGGAGAGCAGGGCAGGGGGTGTCAGCACAGCCCACCTTGCTCCTGCACACAGAGGACCTCCCTCCCAGGGCTGAGCTTCTGCTGGAGAGGGCAGAGCTTGTCCCCTACCCTCCAAGCTCCCCGTCCTCACCTGCTCAGGCTGCTGGAGAGCTGCAAGGTGGGCGGGCCGGTCGCCTGGGCTGGAGGTTGGGCAGCCTGAGCTCCGTTCAGGTTCCCCAGGATCCCGTTGATGGGCACCTGCTGACCTCCTGCCAGGGTGCCCATCAGGCCGTCCACCATGGGCACCGTGGAGAGGCTGTGGCTGGCAGTGGTGCCTCCCCCCAGCCCGCTGCCTGCCACCCTGGCCAGGCCATTCACCTGCTGCACCCCGGGCAGGGGTAAGGAGGCAGGACTCTGCTGCAGCATGGGCAGGGGTGGAGGGGTGCTGTGGAAGGACAGGGAAGAGCTGCTCCTGCTGGGACAACCTGAGTGAGGGTCCTGGGGGAGAAACGCACACAAGAGCATCGGCCTTGGGGCAGCTTGTGAGAGGTGAGCTCAGCTCACAGGGTGCTTGGGGCAGGAGCTGGAGGTGGGAAGGGGGGGGCTGTGAGTGCAAGGGGAGGGGTGTGCTCAGAGGGGTCCCACGACATGCTTTGCTGCATCTCCAGCAGTGTGGCCAGAGCAGCCTAGAAGCATTCCCACCTCGCACTCCCAGCCTCAGCTGCTCTGCTCACACCCTCAGCACTGAGATGAACTGGAGAAGGGGCACTCCAGGGAATGAAACCCGATTGCTGGGCCTGGACTACAAGGTTTTATGAGCTGGACTTCAGAGTCCAGAGCACTGGGGCTGCACTGCTCTGTCCCCTCCCTGAGTCCCTCCCCCAGCTGGCTGGCAGGTGTGGTGGCCACTGTACCTCAGAGGAAGTGGAGAGCGAGTTCTCGATCCCAAAGCTGTTCTTGCACGGGGGGCTCTTGCTGATGCTCAGGGAATCGTTGTTGCAGACTGCAAGGAGGGAAGAAGTGAGGATGCAGAGTCAGGGGAGGAGCCTGACGTTGCCACAGCAATAGCAAGGGACAGTGCACACTGCCAGGAGCTACGGAGCCATAAACGGGTCAGATCCTCCCCACTACCACCCGCCCCAGGGCACTGCTATTGGAAGGGCACAGGATGGTGCTTCCCACGGGTCCTCTCACCGTTGGCAGGCAGGATGTACTGGGCCTGGCTGCCCGGGCCATTGCTACTGGTCACCACGGGGAAAGGGACAGAGAGCTGGACGTTGAGGAGCTGCAGACGCTCCTTCTTGGCTGTCAGTGTCATGATCTGCTCCTGGAGCTGCTGGTTCTCCTTCTGCAGCGAGTGCAGGGCTTTCAGCATCTCCACAACTGCAGGGAACAGGCAGGGGAGGGGGCACAGGGTCAGGGGAGAGAATGGGAGACAGAGGGAAGGGGAGAAAGGGACCCACAGGAGGTACCAGAACTGGCACACGCTGGAGGGGGCTGCCCCCAGATCCCAGCCCCACTGCCAGCTACTCCCCCGTGGCACAGACCAGTGCTTTGTCCCCCGCCCGGCTCCACTGCCCGTGGGCAGAATCCCAGCTGGCTCCCACACAGACATGCAGAAGGACCTCCCTTCCCACAGCCCGTGCCCTGAGTGACTCACTGTTGACGCCAGCCTCCCCATTGCCCTGCTTCTCCAGGAGCTGCTCGATGTTTGGGGTGGCCTGGGGGACATTCTCCAGCTGCCCACTGCTGCTGCACGACACCGTCTGGTCGAAGAGGGTGGGCAGGCTGCTGATGGGGGACCTGGGGAAGGGTTGGGGAGACGGATGTCAGGGGTGCTCCCCCAGCCCATTCCTGCCCCTGCTCCCTCTCCCCACATCCCCTCTGCCTCCTGCTCCATCCCTCCCAGCCTCAGCCTCCCGCTCCACTTCAGATGGTCCCTCCACTGCTCTTAGCCCGGCGGGTACTGGAAAAGCAAACCTGCCTCCTCCCCTCCCACCCCAGAAGGAGCTGCCTCTACTTCCCCCACTCTCCCTCCCT